AAAAAAAAAAAAAAAAAAATTGACCTGAGAACCTCAGCACTTGGTTGAAATAAGAGGTCTCTTAAGGAATCTCCCAACCACCCCAGCATACTTAGAATGTACTTTGAGATGTGGACGGGCAGAAGGCAGATAAAATCCCGATATTGGCTGAACCCTGAAGATAGATCTCTAACAGTATCCATGTCAAGCAGGAGGTTGAGGGGAAGGCCGCCTGCCTTGGTCACAGATGGTTTTCTGGAAAACGGCTTATTCAGCTCGGCAATACACTGAAGCGAACTCATCCATTGTTCCTCTAGAGTGAAATCAGAGAAGGGTGCATTGCTGGATTGTGTCTGTGGTAACTCCAGGCCAAGAGCAAGTCTTCACCAAAAGCTTTGCCCAGACATTGGCAGAACCTACCCCTAGGCCACTGGATTTTTGTCATTTCTTCTGCCACATGAAAACAGAGCCTCTGAACCAAGCCTACAAGTACTTCTTAGCCTTCTCTGCTCAAGAAGATGCCTATAGTATCAAAATCTGCAATGCTCAGAGGAAATGCCTTCATGTCTAGAATTTCCTTTAAAATTAACAAGAAAAGTTTTAGAACGATATTAAAAGGGGGGGGGGGTGAGAAACAATTAAGACTGATAAAATGTTGATAATTACCAAAGCTGAGTACATGGGTACATGGGTGCTTATTCTACTTACCAACTGCTCTACTTTGGAAACTAGAATTATTCCATGTAAGATGGGGTGTTTGGGTTTTTTTTGTTTTTTTGTATGTTTCCTATAATAATTTCATGTATATGTCTTGCTTCCAAATGCAATGTAGGAGGACTTTGAGATCAGTGTCCAAATCCTCCATTGTTTTTGTTTCCTCGTTCTAATGCTCCAAAAGTAGCCACTGGTGGGTTGAATTCTAGAGGAGCCCACCATGCAAGAACTTGGGAACCAGATGGTGGCTTGTGGCTTGTAAGAGGGGATTTCCTTTCTGATGTGTTTAGATTGCAAGGTCAAGGTCCAAATTCCCCACTGCTTTTATCCCCATTGCTGTCTTAAAGGCAACATGGTGGAGAGGTGAAGGAACGGCTGAACACTTTTAATCTTCCCTTTTCCCCTTATTAACTGTGAGAACTAAATGAGGAGATAACTATCAAAGAACACAGCACATTGTGGGCGCTAAATGTTTGTTCCCCAAATCTGCCATCCAGATGCCATTGTCCTGCCGCCCCCTCCAACTCCATGAGCACTTCCCAATCTCATATATATTAGTTTTTTCACTAAAAGCTAACTTACCAGGAATAAATGCTTCTTCTCCCACGTTTTCAGATGAGCTTTCGTTTCCTGGACTTTTGGACTGAGGAAAGGATAGTTGCCTGGTTCTGGTTGCCCAATGAATATGTGAGATCTCAGATTGGAGGTTGCAGTCTTTCTCTAGGAAGAAAAACACATCTGTGGAGTCTTTCTCAAGCCCTGGAACACAGAGCCCAAGGCAAATTTGAT